GTTTTTTACAGTCTTTATTCTACAGTTAAAATAAATGTTTATTAAATAAAGTCTAATGTTACAACTGATCCTGGATCCTTTAATGAGAGCAGAGCTGAAGAACCTGCAGAGACGTTTGACTTCTTGTCTCTAAAAGTTGAATTTAATTAAATCTGACTCATTCTTCCCACATGAGCTTTTATTTCTGTCTTTAATTAACCGTGTCTGTCTCTGAGGCACGAGGACCGGACCCAGGACCAGGACCTGGGACCCAGAACCCAGACAGAAGTGAGAAACAAAAACTCAACTTCAAGACGAAACATCAAACAGAGACAGGAGGAGCAGGAGGAGCAGGAGGAGGAGCAGGAGGAGGAGGAGGAGCAGGAGGAGGAGCAGACCCACACATGAACACCAACACAGGTGACAGGAGGACGGGTCTGATGAGTGAGAGGACACACCTGGGCTGAACACTGACGGGGAACAGGTGGGAGTGGGCGGGGCATCTGACTGAGCGACGGCCCAGAGGAAACACAAGAACCACAGAACATTAAAGAAAGCAGGTCAGAACACAGGAGAACACAAACAGAAACGGTCTGCGTGCATCAGAACCTCGGTCCGGTAGACCAGCTGCATGGTGGCGTCATCGTTCAGACGGTAGATCTCCAGGAACGGGTCCGACTTACTGAAGAAGTCCTGGACAGGGACAGAGACCGGTTCAGAGCAAAACTGGACCACATGGAGACCAGGTCCTCAGAACCTGAAGAAAGCCCTGTTGGTTTATAACATTTAACCCAGAGGAGTCCTCCAGGACCAGGACCAGGACCTGGACCAGACCAGGACCTGGACCAGACCAGGACCAGGACCAGACTCTCCGGGTTAAACAGTTTAATCTGTTCAACCGTTTGAAGATAATTAAATAAAACTTGAAGAAATCTTCATCTCAGATGTTTTTACAAACACGGAGCTGCAGCAGAACCTCGGGCCTCGGGTCAGAACCGGTACCTTGTCGTCCAGCTTCCTGGCGCTGAAGGAGAGCTCGATGTAATCGTCGTTCCCCGTCAGCTCCTCGGCCGTGATCTGAAAACAAACAGGAAGTTCTTTTGATCCGGGTCAGAACCAGAACACTGAACAACAGAACCACAAACAGGTCCAGGTCCTCTGAGACCTCCTGACACTAGGACCTCCTGTCACCAGGACCTCCTGACACTAGGACCTCCTGACACCAGGACCTCCTGTCACCAGGACCTCCTGACACCAGGACCTCCTGACACCAGGACCTCCTGACACTAGGACCTCCTGACACCAGGACCTCCTGTCACCAGGACCTCCTGACACCAGGACCTCCTGACACCAGGACCTCCTGACACCAGGACCTCCTGACACCAGGACCTCCTGACACCAGGACCTCCTGACAC